TAGATCCCTCTGTTCCAGTGTTAGGAACTGATGTTTAGATGGAATATATTGAGACTAGGGCCTCAATATATTGTCATATATAGTATCGCAATATATCGTATGGTCGCCTCTGTATCGTGATACGTATCGTATCGCCAGTTTCTTGCCAACACACAGGCCTAGTTTTGAATCCTTTTTCTCTAGTGATTCCAAATGTAGATCCCTCTGTTCCAGTGTTAGGAACTGATGTTTAGATGGAATATATTGAGACTAGGGCCTCAATATATTGTCATATATAGTATCGCAATATATCGTATTGTCGCCCCTGTATCGTGATACGTATCGTATCGCCAGTTTCTTGCCAACACACAGGCCTAGTTTTGAGTCATGCTGACTCCTAGTGGTCAGTTGCCATTACGTTATTTTAAGTCATCGTCTCAGTGGTCGTGGGTAATGAAGGGGGGAGTCACCTCACCTCTGAAGCTAACACAAAAAAAAACTGTTTTTCTTTTCTTCTGAAAGCTCAGCGGCCTTGAGTTTCCTGAATGAAACATCACCTTGACAGGAAGTCAAGAGCCGCGTCTCACTTCATCAAAGAACCAAGGTTATTACTGTGTGTGCGCGTCGGGGAATGTCTTTGGCAGAGTCCGACGCTGAGCCAGAACGCTTCAGGTTATTCATTAGATATTTCTGCTTACACTCCACCAGTAATATCCCTAAAAAAAAAAAAAAAGGAATCACTCAGATTGGAAAAGCCCGAGGTGAAGAGGCTCGGTGAGAAGTCGCCGCAGATCCATCGCTCTCACAGACTCTGGATTCGCCGTCAAACAGGATCTATTTAGAAAATGATGGGATGTTCAGTCTTCACTGGCCCTTTAATTAGAAAATTGACGAGTGAGTAGAAGTGAGCTAACAGCTGGGGAACAATAACCATGGATTATATCGGAGAGGAACGTCGCATGATTCCTCGCTGCGATGTGGGAACGTGATCAAAACAAAGGGAAACAAAAAAGAAAAAATAATGAAATATTTTTACATAAATCCACTAGGTGTCAGGCCCATCATCACCATTGGTCATTAGTCAGTTAGTGCTGGGGGGGTTGAATTGGTAATAATTAGACAAACGTCAAACTACTGCAGTTGAACATGAGGGGGCAGTGGTGTAACTCTTCTGTTGAACGTGCGTCGCCTGCAGCCGTAGAATTATCAACATTTGTTAATTAAGTTTCTTGTTTATTCAGAAAAATCCAATTTCTATATTTGTTCCATTAAAGCCCGGGGACGATGACCTGGACGTCACCGTCTCTGCCTGGTTCTGGTTTTTGTTACGGAGAAAATTAAGACAAATTTGGATTTTATGGAGAGTTTTTTTAATTTACTGGACTTTGATCTGGAATTAGTTTTTCCTTCTTCTGTTTTCTCTCCTCGTCGTCTTCTACGTCTGGTTCGTTTGTCTCACTTATTCCTGATTTAATTCCCTTGTTGTATATGAACATCCACAACAGGTGGCGCTGCAGAGAAAGTTCTGGAATCACTGATGTAGACACTGGTTCTCCGGGGGGGAGTTTGGTTTGGTTGCTGTTTTTGTTTTTTCTCCTGTCGTTTTATCACCCCCTGTGGCCACTACTAGGAACTACCGGCACCTGAAGCTGTTCTGATATTTTGTCATATGTAGGTTGACCTTTGACCTGTGTTCAGTTGTGTGGATGTCGTGACCGTGGCGGAGGTTCCAGTGAATCCTCTGACGGTTCTGGTCCCTCAGTCCTTGTTCACCCACCGTCCTTTTCATAAACCTTTTTTTTTATTGGCTGTCGGCCGCAGACGGCCTTGAGTGGCGCTGCGCCGCTACGTCACCTGTCACACCGAGACGTGTGGACGCCGCGTTCGCGGTCGCAGACTTCCTGAGGCGTGATTAGAGACCGGACGACACCGGGGAGAGAATGATGGCGGTGTTTTGTCATTCAGCACATCACAGCTCGGTGCGTGACCTTTCACGGTGGAAACAGAACCGCGCCGTCGCAGCAGGGTCGGATTTATCCTCATTAATACACAAACATCCGACTGCAGATGAATCAGGTTTGATGTCGGTTCACTGCTGGAAACCAGGATGTGTGTGTGTGTGTGTGTGTGGTGTTCAGTTGCATTCTGCAGCTGTGACATAACAACAACTGAGACACAAGAGACGTTTGGTTTGTTTTTATCAGGAAGAAAAAAAAAATCCACAAGTTAAATTCAAACGTCCAGAGTTTTGTTTCTGCTCTACAGCGCCACCTTTTGGGCCCCCTACTGGACACATTCAGAGCAGTTGTTTTTAAAACTAGAGTGAACCCCGCCCCATACTTTGACCACCATTGCTTCAACGAATTGTTCAGAAAAACCGGCAACGAAAAAGTTCAACAGCTGAGATGAAATAACCGAGTCTGTAGACTTCAGCGTTCTCTCCAGTTTAGGTTTCAGTGGATTCTGGAATATTCTCAGATGGAAACGAAGAACCAGAACAGAAGACGAGCCGAGTCAGCGGAATTCTACTGTCGCTGCTGAGAAATGACATTTTCAGAGTAGAATCTCACAGAGGGCCCAGAGAGAAATGGATTTTTTTTTTCCGTGTCCTTCTGCTGCTGTATGTGTGTGTTAACATAACGGACGACTTCAGGAAACGCACGCCACCGACAGGAAGTCACTCCTTAATTGGAGCCTTTGTGATACGCCACGACGCTTCGTTGTTTATGTCGTTTAAAAACGCTTCAAATTAATCAGCGTTTTCACGTCACGCCGTCTTCTTACAGCAGGGGGAGACAACAGAGATGTATATATTTAATATATGTGCTCCATTTATTAGAAGAAATACTTGGTGTATATATATTTACACACGCAAACGTACATGTACATATATGTACATACCATACATATATAAAATATCTCATATGGATGTACATGTATTTGTGAGGAAACTCTCTTCCTCCTCCTCCTCCTCCTCCTCCTCCTCCTCCGGCCTGGAGCTGTTTGATGAGGAGTGTGAATTCAGCATGAATCTTCAGAGCTCTACCTTTCACTGAATTATCTCCACACTCCTTTGAGAAGAAGGAGAAGGAGAAGAAGAAGAAGGAGAAGGAGAAGAAGAAGAAGGAGAAGGAGAAGAAGAAGAAGGAGAAGAAGAAGAAGGAGAAGAAGGAGAAGAAGAAGGAGGAGAAGAAGAAGAAGGAGAAGAAGGAGAAGAAGAAAGCTCCCACATTCAGCCTGCATATATATCACATCCCTCTGACGGAGAGACGGGATTGGCCGACTCGCCCGTCGAAACCACTTCTCCTTTTGGAGGAGAGACGTCTGTGACTGAGAAGGAACATACAGATATTTTCATTTGCTGGAGGCTGATTTGAGCCTCGGGGCTTTGACTTGAAAAAAACATTCTTTACTGTCGGCAGTATTTTCTTTTCTGTTCAGTATCTATTGAATTTGAATGGAGGAAGAAAGTGAATGTTAACAGCTGGGTTTTTTTATTTTTTATTTTTTTTATCAATGACACCGGAACATTTTGTAAACTCACAGAGAAGACGGATCAACCTTCACCGCAGCGACTCCTCTCCGTGTCAGATATAATGGAGTCTGCTCAGACGGAAAGGCTTTGGTGTCGGTGGCGTCTGAAGAGCAGGGATCCTTGAAATCCGCCGTGTTCCTGTTGCTCTGTGATTGTAAATTGGTTGTAATAGATTGTAGCGGCTGATTCTCCGTTTGATCGCTTAATTGGATCACACAACGGAATTACTCTTTTATGTGCTTTTAATAGGGTTTTGGACAGGAGCGGCGCTTCACGGGCACGGAGGCAGCAGTGTGTGTGTGTGTGTGTGTGTGTGTGCAGAATGCTCGTCTGGAGGATAAATTCATTATTGGCCTTGTTCTCTG